GAATATGGTAATAAATTTAAATTACCCCAAAGGCTATCAATCCAGGTATGGTAAGGCCATAACTCGGGAAATATCGAATATGGTAATAAATTTAAATTACCACTAGGTATGGTAAGGCTATCCACGTATAGTAATAAATCATATAGTAATAAATCATAATTAATCCACGTATAGTAATAAATCAATCCTGGTATGGTAAGGTCATAACTCAGGAAATTTTGAATATGGTAATTATATGGTAATAAATTTAAATTACCCCAAAGGCTATCAATCCAGGTATGTAAGGCCATAACTCGGGAAATATCGAATATGGTAATAAATTTAAATTATCACCAGGTATGGTAAGGCTATCGATCCAGGTATGGCACGCCCTCACCTGATCACCTATCACAATCTCCAGCCCCACGCACGCACCAAAGAACCCACCCGGCACCAAACGCAGCTCCTCTCGACCCCCTCGAGTAAACGCCGCCACCGTCGTGCGATCTTCCTGACACAGACGCCGTCGCCGCCTCCTTCCCACCTACGGCGTCCCCCACGTCCATGGTGACGGCGCTCGCGTCCTACACTGACCCTCCGCCTCATATAGGTTGGTCGTTGATGGAGTGGGATGTGCCGCTGCGGTTTGGGGAGGCGCAATCACGATCTGGTTGGGATCTCAGTGTGGACTCGTTCTTTACGATGAAGGATGACGCTGCCTCCCTGTCAAATGGGATCGGAGGAAGGGGCTCTACGTCGTGAATGTCGGCGAGGCAGCGGCCGAAGGCGAGCCCGACGGTGAGCACGGATGTTCGTCCCATGAAATAGGCGGCCACGGAGGGCGGATCTGAGGCCACCCCAATCACCGGTGGCCCTTCCTCCCATCGCTCATCGCCTCCATTCTTTCTCTCCTCTAAATCTTTGTCGCCCCTGCCTGATTCTGGCCGACGCCATCCGGCTCTCGCATCGACCACCACCAGCACGGCTGCGGACGAGGCGCAACCGCAGACGCCGCCGCCGCCATCCTAGAGAGGACGGTGGTGGTGATTGGCTGGGTGGTGTCGCTGCCGTGGGAAGAGACGAAGTGATGGTAAAAGTAAGCAGGATCCGATGATTCTTCCGTGGGGATAGCCAAAGTCAAGATGTCGACTACAGACTCGTCACAGACTTGCAGTGAACCTGAATGCGACAAGCCTAATTTGTGGATCGATGGCGGGTCTTGACTTTGTTAGGCCGAGATTGGATGGTTGCGGAGGGTGGTGTGCTTGATTGGGTTCCCATGGAAGAATGTGGCCTCCTCGTGGATCTGGTCATGCCCATCCTAGAGAACATTGTGTCCCTAGCTCCCTCGAGGAGCAAGGACAGTGCAAGCGGCAGCAGGGGGTAGGGGTAGATGTGGGGAGGGATGTCGGCGGCTGCTCGAGGTCATCATGATGAAACCCTTGACGTCCCATCTTTATCAATGGAAGTGGAAGAGCACGAAGTCGAGATTGGATAGGAGTTTGAGTTCTTTTTGGCACCGATCGGTTCCCCACTTTAGAGATGTATTTTTTTGCGTGCGAGCAAACAGTGAGTTGATTCTAAAAGGGATAGGCACTTTTCAACAGAAGTGCATGACGGACCAAAAATATGACCTCATTTTATTTGTTTGATAGATATCGTATTATTCGTTGTTGTTCGTTCGGTGAAATTTCCTAATATTTAATTGTTGTGTTTCTAATTAGAGCACCCCATAATCACCCAATATGAGGGGATGATAAATGAAAGATACTGATAATAAATTTTAAAGAGCCCGTGGCAACGCACAGGCGTTATACTAATTAGGAGTAGAGATTGAGATGCATGTCATCTCATTTCTTATGATTTTTCATTCATATAACATTCATATCCCACGAAAAAAAGGCCTGAAAAGACAAGGGAATGGATGGTCGAGGAAGCAGTACTCCCGTACCCCGCATCAGTCTGTTTCGTGCATTTTTTCCTCGTCTTGACGGAATCGTTTTGTCTCGAGTCTCCACGACGGGGACGGACCTCTGTGCTGCGTTAAATGCTTTGTTTTCTGCGAAAAAGAAATCTCATCCTTCCTTCCGCTTCCTCTTCCCCTGACGTATAAATCCCTCTCGGCCACACACATCGACACACAGACACCACACACGCGCGTCGCATTGCGGGCTTTGCACAAGCCCGGAGCCGGAGGCAAGGGTGGATGCTGCCGCGCGTCCTGACCTCTCCCCGTACGTACGCCCATCTTCCCCTCTTCCTGCTCCGCTGTGTGGCTCGCTTCCTTCTTGGGTTGGATTTCTGATCTGGAAAGTGTTCTCCGTTAACACCCGTTCTCTTCCTGTTGTTGCTAATCCGCATCCGAGAAATCTTGGGGAACTTGGCCCGTTGGCCGTGAGATAAGATCGGGGGCCGGAATCGCTCGCCCTTGATGTGGTGAATAGATTCTTGGCTCAACTGAAAAGCCAAGACCTCGCAAAAAGAAAGAAAAGCCAAGAGAAAAGAAAAATCTTGGGGTTACTGTTACTACTTATGACTCATTTGCCTGTGTGATCTTAGCGCGGTTGCCCCCCAGAATCCTGGTTAGGGCGCGACGCGGAGGACGGAAGCTGATGGTTTCTTGTCTTCATTCCTTTTGTTATTTGTTTGTGCAGCCAACCAGAGAGGCAGAGATCGTGTGGCAGATCCCCCCAAAACGAATGAGCTGTTTTGTGCTGTTTGCCCTTTTGCTCTCTTCGTCGGAAACTTAGGGTGCCTCATCTTAGGAGCTTCTTGCAGTTCTAGTACTAGTAGTAGTACTCAGTAGTCAGTACCAGTAGCACGGCTTTTGCAGTAATTAGTGTCAAGCTGATTCTGCAGTAATTACTGCCTAGCCCATTAATTGGGATACATAGGCATATGGTGGGGCATGGCTGTGCAGAGACGCTTATGATCTCATACTATATGTGTGTTGATTCAGTTGTCCTCAACTGAAATATTCTGTTGGTCCGGATCAGACTTTGGTGAGCAGAGCACCACTTCAGCTTTGGTGCCTTGGTGCTTTCTAGCTATACTCTCATGATTCATTGACAAGTGAAACACACTGCATTGCTTTAATCTGCTGACAAATGTGATCATAAGCCAGGACAGCCAAGACATTAGAGCAGAAAATCATAGATTAATTGTCTAAGATCATGCTAAGCGCCTTAAGCTCTTGCTGCCTGTTGATTTTTCTAACGCTTCATGTTGTTGATGTGGGCATCTGCCATCTTAGTTATATTTGGTGGCCAGGTAGTACTAATTAACAAGTGCATACTTGTGTGTAATTATGCGTCATTAAGAGTCCCTTTGGGGACATCTGATAAAAATATACTATGAGTCATGTCAAATATCTATCTAGTTATCTTAGAGGCAAAATAAGTTGAAGAATACTTGCGATATCTTGCAGTTCCATTAGAATAATATGTGTATGGTTTGGTCTCTCATGTGTGTTATTACTGAACCAATTTCAGGTGAATAATCTGGTCTCATGGCGAAGCAACACTATGCAACCAGCAGCCTTGTGATAGGCTATGCCTTGTGCTCGAGCTTGCTGGCGATCATTAACAAGTATGCCGTCACAAAGTTCAATTACCCTGGCCTCCTGACAACGCTACAGTACTTGACATCTGCTGCTGGTGTTTGGGCCCTTGGAAAGCTAGGTTTTCTCTGCCATGACCCCTTCAACCTGGAGACTGCCAAGAAATTTGCACCGGCTGCTATTGTCTTCTACCTCGCCATATTTACAAACACAAACCTCCTTGTTCATGCCAATGTGGACACGTTCATAGTTTTCAGATCCTTGACTCCGCTTTTGGTTGCTATTGCTGACACAACCTTCCGGAAGCAACCATGCCCTTCCAAGCTCACATTTTCATCCCTTGTTATCATATTGGGAGGAGCGGTTGGCTATGTGATTACAGATTCTGCATTCAGCCTCACAGCATACTCTTGGGCGCTTGCCTATCTGGTGACAATAACAGCTGAGATGGTGTACATCAAGCATATTGTGACGAATCTGGGTCTAAACACATGGGGTTTTGTGCTGTATAACAACCTTCTTTCCTTGATGATATCCCCCATCTTTTGGTTTTTGACAGGGGAGCACAAGTCGGTCTTCTCAGCAGTCGAATCACGTGTTGAGGGTTGGTTCCAGCTCGATGCCTTTGTCGCGGTGGCATTGTCATGCTTGTTTGGGTTACTCATCAGCTTCTTTGGCTTTGCGGCTAGGAAAGCAATCTCAGCCACGGCATTCACGGTGACTGGGGTTGTGAACAAGTTCCTCACAGTGGCAATCAATGTGACGATCTGGGACAAGCACGCCAGTGCATTTGGTTTGGTTAGCCTGCTATTCACTCTTGCTGGTGGAGTACTCTATCAGCAATCAGTTACTGCAAAAGGAAATATTGCATCAGCTCAGCGTGAAACGGCATCGGAGCAACTTAAGGATGAAAGTGACGGTGCTGAGTATGATGAGGAGAAACAGAAGCTTATTTCATCTGGAGTGCCTAGTGCATGAAGAGTGCCATTCTTAGCTTTAGGTCGACAGGTTTGTCCTTTAATTTTGCTTAATAGGCCCTTTGCAACAGAACCATACAATAGGCAGTGCCAGTGGTAGTACACAATATTTCCTTTACAACTAGAAGGCCCTTTCTCTCTGTGTTACTCATTTCTACTGGAAGAAAACTAGATTAAATTACTGTTTTATGGTAGGAGTGATGCACGTTGTAAACTTGTAATACAATACCTATATGGATATCTCATATTATTCTTGATAATTATATATTGGCCATTGGTGCCTTTTGTGGTAACAAAAAACAACAAAGAAAGGGAATTTGCGTCCAGATGCTTTGGAGCAAGCAAGCATTGGGACATGCAAATATTAAAGAGGCATATACAATATCCTTGGAACAAGCTGTGGTATACTTGCGGAAGTCGGGCAACGATGTTTCTTAACATGGTTTTGCCTGAACTCTTGATGGGAGGCGTAATCCAGGTAAGGCGAAGAGGCCAAGCTTATGACCATGTCCCCGGTGACGGAGTCAATTGATGTTTCGGATAGTCGTGCTTATGTTGTAACCTTGGTAGCATGGATCCCTTCACAGAGTTTATGGCATTCCTCGACAGAAAAGTAGCACTAGGTCACCCTTGAGGGTTAGAGAGTTCATTCAAATGGAAGAGATGTACTTCCTCCGTTTCAAAATAATTGAAATTTTAGGATTGTCCTAAGTCAAACTTCATTAAGTTTTACCAAGTCTATATAAAATTTATCAACATCTACAAAATAAAATTTACTTCATTAGATTCATTATGAAATGAATTTTCATATTATATATATTTGATATTGTAGGTCTTTGCGGATTTTTCAATAGACTTGGTCAAACTTAAAAAAAGTTTGACTAAGAAAAATTGTAGAACTTCAATTATTTTGGAACGGAGGGAGTATTAAAGTACATGTACCCATAGAGTGTTCTTCAACAGGCTCAAGGCCATGCACGAATCACCCATAACTGGAAGCATTTAGTCTAATCTGGTCTGTACACTTGGTCCATGAGAGGGAGGGGTTACTTTGTCCATGGTGCATGGTGGACTGTAGCTAGGTGTCTCTCTTCCCCCTAGTAGGCTTGACTGACTTGAAGCATTGACTTTCTCTTTTATACTTGCATTTCTTTCTCCTCTCATCCTTGGCATGTGACAATCAGACAATGTTGCCATTATGCAGATAGCTTGTGAGTGCAAAAATAAATCTTGAGTAGATTATAAGGAACAACATATTGTTTCCAATAGTGATTCAGCTTCCTCCCCTCTCTTTTTTTCGTCGAATGCAGCAGCACCATCACTGGATAGAGAAAGCATGTATCTTCTTTTATTTTCTATACAGTACACAGGGT